AACATTGTGAAAGATCAAATAAGTTTAAATTTGATAAATAAGTTCATTTTGAATAAGTTTAATACATTATTATAATATCTTTTGACTTTTAAAATTTATCTTTACACGTTATAATATAATTTGTAAATAATATTTTGATTATTTTTTATTTTTAATAATTATCTTTATTAATGTAAATTAATTTCATATGTTATTCATATATAAACAAATTGTACCCAATGCGTAGCATGGGCTACACTCTAGCATATATCTATAACATACTTGGCACTAAAAGGACTTTCTCCTTTAACTACGCCAAGGGCTTTAAAAAAAAAAAAAAAGGAGAAATAGAAAGACAAAGAAGAAAACAAGAAAAAAGGGGCCCGTGTGCAAGCTAGTTAAATCAAAAACGTCCCCGAAGTTTCAGTACAAAAAAGGTGGAGTGGTATAGATTTGCAAATTCTTCTCTTGGTTATGCTTTGTGTTCCCCATCCTCTTCCTTACCAATAGTTTGAGACCCGCAGATTGTTGCACCAATGCAATTGCCTAACACTTCCGAATCTAGCTTTTAATGTCATTTATCGCTTTATATTGCTAGCAGGTAGTAAGCACATTCACAAGAGGATATGCCAGATTTTGCAAATTGCAACACCAGATTTATGTCCAGTCTATTGTTTGAAATTGTCTGATAAATGTAAGAATGCAAAGCCACATCATTCCAAGACCAACATCTCCCCAGTACAATGTAAAGGTCCATAACCGACGGACGCATGCTTTGACATCATTTGTAATTACCTAAATTCAAGTATCATTGGTTAATTAATTTTTTAAACCTATATCACGTGACTTTTAAAAGTTTAAGTTCAAGTTGTTGGTAGTGAATGACTTAAAATCTTATGTAAATCTTAAGAATCTCATTTATATCTCATAGGAGAAGGGGTATCACATGCTACTCTTAAAAAATGTTAAAAATCTCACAACTTCTAACCATATCTACTTGTCACGGGACAGTTCTTCAAACCACCCACCGTGCGGCATTGGATTCGACCCTTTATCCCGACATCGAAACCCAAGTCAACCTTGATGCTCAGCACCCCCAGCAAGCACTCAGCACACCCACACGCAGTACACTATTTTTTGGTCAGTCGGCACACGCACACACACACAGTAGGTCTCAAGCCAACAAGCACACTTGCAGAAAAGGGAAAGGGAGAAAAAAGAGAAGAGTGTTGGAGAATTTTTGAAAGTGAAAAAGAAAAGCTGAGAATGTATTGAATGATCTGATTTACACAATCTACAAAGGCTTATTTATAATCAATTTTCCTCCAAAAGAGTTTCCTCCAAAAGAATTCCCTCCAAAAGAATTTTAAGAGAAAAGCTAAAATTCCAATAGCTCAAGCCATTAAAAGGATTGGTGTAGTGGGTCGTTGTCATCTTTGGCCTCCTAGTGGGTCTAGGCCGTGCACAAGCTGTGTGCCTAGGTGTTGGTAGGTTGGTGCGCATGGGCCGCGCGCAAGCAGTCTGTCTGGGGGCTGTGCGGGCCTACGTGCCGCGCACCCCTGCTGTGTGGGTTGGCGTACCTGGGCCACCGCGAGCAGTCTGCCTGGCTCTGTGCGAGCTGGCTCACCCAAGGGCCTGTGCTGCGGGCCCCTACTGGGCACCCTGCACCTGCCTTCTGCTATCCAGTGGGGGTTCTCTCCCAACAATACTCCCCTGTATACCGGCACTCCGAAACACCCTCGGACCACCTTCAATGCGCTGAACTGCAGTCTGTGACATACCCACCCACGAATACATAGTTGAGAGTGGACCAATCAAGTGGCTTATATATTGTAGAACAGTTCCAAGGTGTTTTTCCTATCATGGGCTGTGTAATGTAGATGCTACATGTGTCAAGCTGTTGATAACACGAGGCGGTAGAGAAACCAGAGAAGATATCAAATGGCTTAAATTTTATATTTAAGATGAAAACGTTACAATCAATGTCAAGGCATTATACAAGGAATGTATGACAATGGAAGATCTCAAGTTTCCAGTTCCACAATAAGAGCACCCAAGGATGCACCCAACGACAAACAATTGTAAAAAGTTCTCTCCAGAGAAGTGAGCTGCACTAAAGATGGCTGCGCTAAGGACAACTGCTTGTTGCCAGTTCAGTGTTGAGACAAGAGATGCCAACAGAAATCCTCTGTAAACCATTTCTTCCAGGAGAGGAGTGATGATGCAGTAAACAATAGCACAGGCAACTTTTGAGATGTCACTGCTCAGAAGCATTTCCTTCAGTATGGGGTTGTTCACATCCTAAATTTTAGATTGAACAAAAAAAAAAGATGCACAAGTCACATATCTTAGAGACATAATAATGTATTGGCAGGAAATGCTGGGGTAAAACTTCAGAGAGAAGAATGCCACGCGCTTATGATGACGTATAAATGCATATAATTGAAGCAAACAACACATTCTGAAACACTTTTAACATGATGGGGTAACTTTAACAATACTCAGCATCTTTTGAACTAAAAGTGCTAATATATCAACAATTTCTGTGTTTTTTTCTGGTTAAATCAGTTAACCTACTGTGGCCAGCTTAATAAATCAGCAAAAAATATTCCATTACCACTAAGTCTCATAAAACTATTTGGTGTTCAGAGCTGAAGAACATATCTGATAAAGAAAACTAAAAGCAATGAAGAGGAGGAAACCAACCTTTACCCCATATAATCTGTCAGCAAGAATTGATGTAAGGAAAACTAACAAAATAAGTATCCCAAAACCCAGTGCCGATGCCAATACCCAGTTCCTCTCTATCGATAACTCACTAGATTTGAAGAAGTCCATAAGCCCATTTTTTGGCTTGAAGGTGCTCTTTAGCAGAAGGAGAGTTGAGATGAGTTCCAAAATATCAAGTAGAAGCAGCGATAGTGACTGCAGCAAAGATCGAATCAAACTAGAGAAGCAACTTTAAAGAGTATGTACATGTTTACAAGTAACACATTCAACCAAAATGATTTCTTCTTTAAGGGCACAGGTAAGACTAGAAAACATAAGTTTAAGTGGACATTTGTGTAATGAACCACCAAAAAAGCACATATCAATATCTTCAACAAACGACTATCCCAATTTTTTACAGACATGTAAACTTCTTTTTAGCCATAAGCCTAGGAAGTTAAAAGAAGGCAGTTTTTCTTTTTCTCTTAAGTGGAAAGCAGAAGTTTATCAAGAGATTACTGAAAGAAGGTAGGATAACTGATAAACTGCTTTTGTGATTTAAATTATCTCTAAAATGTTCTTTCTAGATCAGTCTTGTGATTAGAGTAAGCTTATTAATACATAACAACCTCTATTCATAGAGCCAAGCCAACAAAATCAATTCCTATTTGTTTACAGACATTAAAACTCTCGTCCCAAGTCAAAAGCTCAGCAGACATTTGAGTTTACCAAAAACAAAAATTTTTCTGGTCATTAGCCTTACCTCACCTCTAACATCACGCACTAAAGCTCCCATTTATCTAATTAGAAGCCGGAAAAAGCAACAAAGCTCAGAAAATGGGAGCAAAAAGTGGTCGCAAGGTTACATAAATGAGCAGGGAGCTCAGTTACAGAGTGCCCTCTTTCATTGCTATTCCAATTGGACAGAAGAATTGCATGCCATATATATAAAAAAATTAAAAACCAATAAAGGCCTCATTACCCGAGTCTGGGGATCAAGGACAGGTTGATGCAAGATATAAGCAACAATCGACAAGCCTCCAAAACCCAGAGGAATATGCAAATTGAACATATACACAGCCATGGTGCTCCATAAACTCTCCGTCTTCCATGGAATATCTGATGTCAACACTGAAAACGCCTGTTCATACCCATATTAGAAAACCCATTTCCAGAATTTGATCAGAAAGTACTTTAAAAATAGTTTGGTGAGTTAGATTTAATTTGTAAACATATAAAACATGCAAGTCAGAGAACTTACCTGAGTGGATTTGGCTGTACTTTTGTCTTGGGTGCAGTGACACTTGAGAACAGTAGAACTAGAACTGAATTTGGAGCTATTAAAGGAGTAGAGCAAAGGATTGGCGGATAAAGCGAGTCGTCTGCTAAAACGGCGGCGAAATGTAGGTGTGGCATTAACCTTAGGCCAAGCAAAAATCATTTTTGTTTTCCCCGCTCTTTATCCCCTGTTTCTCAACTGAAATGCCATTTGTATCAAGAAAGCCAAAGGAAATTGATAAAATACATAGAATTCTGTGGTTTTGTTTTTTTAAGTAGATAATTAATATCAGCACAAGGAAATGGGATTGATTTTTCTTTTATATTACTTTATATGATTAGATAGATTTAAACTAGTACACTTAGACTGTCCGTCCAAAAGGTCCAAAATTTATGCAAAAACAAAAAAACAAAAAATTCATTGAAAATTGGTCTCAAATCTGTCAGAAATGGATTCAAAATTCATCAGAAATGAGCCTCAAATCCGTTAGAAATGAACCCATAATCCGTTGAAAAAGAGTCTAATATCCGTCAAAAAAGGGCCCTAATTTTCTGACAATTGAGCTTAATTTTCTTTAAATTAAAATTAGTTATTAAATTAAATGATATAATATTAAAAATGTAATTGAAAATTCTTTTTTATTAACTGTACAATTCAAAATAGTTCACACAATATCTTATTTGTTACAAAAATAAAATTAAGATGAAAAAAAATCCAATACTATAAAAAGCATGAGGATGTACATCATCCGTTACATTTCTACAAATAATTTGTTATCATTTCAATAACGTCTGGCATCACTTTAAAAATCATAGTGGTGATGGTAATAAAATCATTAAAATCATTTTAATGATTTTAGAGTAAGTTTATTTTATTTTTTAATGTGTCTTCCCATTTTCTCTTACATTTCTTACTTATTACAGAGTAGTCATATATTTTTGTTCAGACCAAAAAAAACAACAAAACTTGAATAATAAAAAAGAATGCTAGTGGCTTGACTTAACTATATATAGCTCAGACAGAAACTCACCTGTTTAACTTGACTACTTAAATATACAAACAAGAGTTGGATTTGCCTGGATTGGGAAAGGCAAACAACAGGGAAACATGGAGAGCGGAGCCTTGGTGGTGGTGGAGCTCCGAAGGAACTCAACAAATTTTGAAAAGGTAGTAAAAGAGATTGTGAAGATGGAGAAAAAGATTTTCCCCAAGCACGAGTCACTTGCTAGATCCTTCGATGAAGAGCTGAGAAAGAACAACGCTGGGTTGCTTTACACATCAGATCTTCATGGAGAAGTTGTCGGCTATGTCATGTATTCCTGGCCCTCTTCACTCTCTGCTTCCATATCAAAGCTTGCAGGTGTTTTTTATCCCCTCGTCTTTTAATTTCTAGCATTCTTCCTTCTGACACTGGCCGGTAACCTGCTCGAGTAAAGTACCAAGTTACCTCATTTTGTTTAATGAATATGCCATGCCAAATCTATGTTTTTCTTGTACAGCTGTTTGTTTCAACTTCCGTGATTAATTTCTTTGTTTCTGGGTTGGTTGCTGGAAATTAACCGAACAGTGAAGGAGAGTCATAGAAGGCAAGGCCATGGAGAAGCATTACTAAAAGCGGCAATTGAAAAATGCAGGACCAGAAATGTCCATCGGATATCACTTCACGTTGATCCTTTGAGAAGTGCTGCCATGGGTCTTTACAAGAAGCTTGGTTTTCAAGTTGATAGCTTGATCAAGAGTTACTACTCCGCTGATCGAGATGCCTATAGAATGTATTTGGATTTCGATCCAAAGTAGTATAGGAATAGAGCTTGAAACACTTGTCTCTGTAATTTATTTGGGTTCAACGAGCAAGATGCTAATATTGAAACGTGCACCATTCAATTGAAGAACAACCATTTTTGTCTTTGCTTCTTTTGAGTAAATAAAGGTTAGCCATTCACTCTGTACGTCTTGTATAATTGTCTTTTGAGTAAACAAACAAGTAAAATGGATGATAATTCATTTGGTATTTAACTCATTGATTGATTGATGTATGAACTATTTATTTATAGAACAAGTTCAAATCCTCTTCTTTTAATTATTAAAAAAAATGATAAATGGACATAATCAAGTAAAATAAGTGATGGCATTTGACTGTATGAACTCTTTACCTATAGAGCAAGTTTGCAAGTAAAATAGGTGATGACATTTGACTTATTGGTAAACCCCTATCTATAGAGCAAGTTCAAATCTTCTTCCCTTCAATTAAAAAAAATAATAATGGTGTAAACAAGTAAAACGGGAGCAAGTTCGAATCTCCCTCCCCTCAGAGCAAGTTTACAAGTAAAATGAGTGATGACATTTAACTTATTGGTTAGTACATAAACCCTTATATATAGAGCAAGTTCGAATTTCGCTCCCCTCAATTAAAAAAAAAATAATGGTGTAAACAAGTAAAACGGGTAACAAAATTGAAAATAAATAATTTGATGCTGCCCAGGATCGAACTGGGGACCTTTAGTGTGTAAGACTAACGTGATAACCACTACACCACAGCATCTGGATGACAAATGACTCTGCTCTAACTAACAAAACTACTTATTTTTCTCATAAGCATTCCTTCCAACCGGTAACTATAAAAACCGTTTCAAACCTCCCGCATAAAAGAGCCCGTAACCCCGTACAATCGAAATTTTTTCAGCGTGCTACTCACGCGCCTAGGCCCTAGATTACCAAATCTAGGCTTCCATCCAGGTTTTTCCTGCACATTTTGATTAATTAGATGCAAATTGGGTAAATCTTTTATCAATAGAGCATCAAAAATGGAGAGAGTGGTAAGGAGCTGCGTGCAATCAATATTGAAGCTGGTGAATTCAATTATAGGAATGGTTGGTACGGCTATGATTCTGTATTCAATTTGGTTAATTAGGGTTTGGCAAAGAGAAATTGGGGATTTTTTTCCGTTTGAAGGCTCTGATTATGCAGCTCCATGGTATGTTCTCTATCTAGGGGTTAATGGGGAAGCCTGGGATTTTAAAAAAGTCAATCTTTTGGTTTTTCTTGGGTAATGAAATGTGAAAGGAAATGTGTTTTATATTTGATTTGATGAATTTTTGTTGTTTTCTGTGTTTTTGAATCATTATTAGTTTCCATTTTCTGTTTGGTTGATGGGAAAATGAAGGAAAGTTAAAAATATAAATAGAAGTTTCTAGTTATTCAGTTAGTGTTCTTTTAATTCTCTCCTATTTTGGACGGACCACAATTCAATTTTTCTGCTAAAAATAAATCTCCTTTGTTTGTGGGTGAATTGCAGGTTTATCTACACTTTCCTTGGCCTTGGTGTTACTTTGTGTGTGATAACATGTTTTGGGCATATTGCTGCTGAAACTGCAAATGGCTGTTGCCTTTATTTTGTATCTTTTTTCTTGATTCAGTTAAACTAGATATCAATGCCCCATAATTATCAGGAATGTTACTCAAATTTCGTTCTAGAAGTGCAATGTTACATTGTGGAGTGTTTTGTTTATGGCATACAGTTTCTTATTATTATTATTATTATTATTATTATTATACACATATAACTAACTAGCCCTTCTCAGTTGTTTTGTTCTTTGCTACTATGCTGATGAATATGCTTTACTGCTTCACAAACTCAAATCGCAACATAATGGGATGGTAAATTTGTTGTTGACCTTAAATGCATTTTAGTATATGTCCTTCACCTTTTTACTTCTTATGCTGGAGGCTGCAGTGACGACTGATGGATTTCTGAATAATGACTGGGAGGAGGTATATCACATACAAAAGCTGATAATTGAATAAATTTTGGACGTCTTTTGATGGTACAGCTTACTACATTTGCTTGTCAAAACTTAATGTGATCACTATGCTGATTTTTATACCAGGACTTTCCAGTGGATCCAAGTGGGAGTTTTAATAAGTTCAAAGATTTCATCAGGTCGAACTTCGAATTCTGCAAGTGGATAGGCTTTTCTGTCGTGTCTGTACAGGTTAATATCTTTCTTGGAATGAAAGTGATGGTAAATTGTACATTGCATTTCACGTAATTAACTACAGTGACATTAGCATGTTCAGTTGTAGGGTTGAAATATGTCGTTTGGTTATTTGTCCCTGCAATGCAAATGATTTGGATGCATGTTTATGATTGGCTGTATCCCACATAGACAAATAGCAAGTCACCCTCTGTGCACTTGAGGGTTGTTGAAGTTACCATGCTGTTTCACTGATAGAAGCAATTTCCTAAATGCTACTTGGTAAGCTGGAAAATATGAAATGGAATTGAAGCAGAAGCTTACAGGTATAGTTGAGGGTTTGCGTTTTGATGGCCTGTTGTCAGCTTCACTCTATTGCTTTCGAAGCTTCCCTCCCTCCTTCCCTCCTCTTTCATGATTCTCCTCTTGAGTTTTTCCCATTTCTAATGTGAAAGTTTGTTTAGGTTAGAGGAGTAAGATTGGCATGCCCTGGTTATCATATGCTTGACCGTCTACCTTCTTCTTTTGCAGGGACTATGTATCCTATTGGCAATGCTACTTAAAGCTCTTGGGCCACATCAATATTATGAGAGTGATGATGATATTGATCCTGAGAGGGTTCCACTCCTGAAGAATGCTGTTCACCCACCTTATGTCGTTGGCAACCCTGCTTATGGATCCCATAGTAATGCCTGAAATAGGAGAATTAAGTGTATGGTAAAAATCATGTGCTTAAGCCTGGGATTGAGAGCTGTTTGCTTAGCGTTGAGTGTTGAGTTACTAATGTAAAGAATGAGGTATCAAGTTTTGCGAATCAAGCTCATGTTGGGTTTGGAATGGTATACCTTGGCTGCTCATTTGGGTGGTGCTTTGCATCCAAATCTCCTCATTTACTAAAATATATTTCTGTGTTTCAAAATAAAAGTAAAAAGTAAAAGAGTAAATACAAAATTTAGGACCAGACTTTGGGTTTAATGTGCAATATAGGAACTCTAATTTTGTGTAATTAAGAAAATAATGTTACCATAAAGAAATCTGCCAATGGTCAACCGTCTAAGTCATTATTAGATGTGACATTATATGAAAAAATTGAACTATGGGTACGATTGGTTTATGAAATAAGCATGGATGGAATAAAATAGTTATTTTGTGATAATGAAATAAGATAATATAAGAATAGAATAAAGTAAGTATTATGCAATTTGGTACAGTGAAACGAATTGAGGTAAGAATTGCTATTGTAACATTGTAGTGTTTAACTGGTTAAAAAAACATTAAAACAAGAAAAAAAATGATAAAAAGATAAAAATATTTGTTATTATATTAGCATTTATTTTCAACAAAATAGTGCATTGTATTGCTTTCGTCAAAATTATATATTTTGTATATTATTTTGATACAAAGTTCAACCTTGTCACAGACAAAAAAAAAAAAGAAATTTCTTGAGACTTTTAGAAATTTATCAAAGTATTATTTTCATCTAAATAATATTTTTGATATACAATATTTGATAAAAAGAAAACTCACTCAGGCATAAGTTTTTGTCCATTATGCAAAATGTTATGCACCTTTTAACAAGTTTAATCAATTCAATGAAAGGAGTTGCAAGCCCAAGGCATTAAATAAAGAACAAAAAATAGGACTGCAGCAAACTAAGCTTAGAACATTATACAATGAACAAAAAACAGGGCACTTGAGCATATTCAGTTCAACTTATTTTCCTTTGCATCAAATATGTACATGATCACAAGTGGAGCTGGAAAAGTGGATGGTGGATGAGAGCATGTTGAGAATCCAATGATTCCATATGGTGTTGCAGAAAAAAGATGAAATCAAGTACTAAAACAACTAGAAGGAAGAAGACTGAAAACGGCATCACTTTAGTTGTTGTGTTAGTGTTTAGTGAAACACATTAAGCATTGTCATTTTGACCCTTAGATATTTGTTTGCTTAAAACATTTTTGCTGATGCCATTTCATTTGGCTACTTGTAAGGCTGAAAAGCCACGTTTTCTATTCTGTTTTTTTTTTACTTTTCTCTTAGCTGTTGAAGGCCATTGTAGTGCATAGTGACCCAAGATTCCCGTGGTTAGCTGATTCCATTTTTTCATTTTATTTTCGATTTTCTCGGCTTTGTCTGTAACTACCCATATATATATTTTCTTGAGAATGAAAATGGCTCTTGAGTTCTTCTCTCCAAATTTTGGTTTCTACAATTTCTTCTCTATTCCTAAAATCATTTTAGATCCTCTGTTCTTTAGCTCAAGCTTCATCAGAAATTTTACAGAGCAACTTAGCTAGAAAGGTTGAAGAGAACAATGTGGCTGGAAGCGAACGACGGAGAAGGGGAAAAGAGAGAAAATTTGATTTTATATGGATAAGGTTGTAATTTTTTAAATTTATGAGGGGTAATTTCATCTTAATGATTTTGAAAGTTATTTCATCATACATATGGAATAATTAATATCAAGGGAGTTGAGTTTAATTAAAGATGACTTTTTACTAATCTTGAAGATTAGTTAAAACTTAAAAATTGTTATATTTTACCAAATTGCCAATAGCTAGGAATAGATAGGAACAAACGTGCTGTATATGAATGATAATCAATGTGGCAATTAGTTAAGACGGTGTGAATGTACTCTGATGCATAATTGATGAAAATTTCGAAATTCTTTTCTGGATAGTCACATTTTTTTTCATTCTAATAAAAGTTTATTGTTTTTAGTGGTATATTGTTAATACTCTAGAGTTCATTTTGATAATAAATATCTTTCATTTTAAACTATTGGGTCTTACGATTTTATTCCATTAAAAATATTTTATAAATTGAAACTAATATGAATATTTAAGATACTTAATCTTATTTTAATACATAATCAAGGTGACTCTCGATCCTCAACTGCAACAGGAAAGAAGTAAATATATTCAAGGTCAGCAACAATTCTCAAACTAGTGAGCACTACCCTTTCTAACATGGCCGATTTGCCTTCTTTCGCTATCAGTTAGGCTGTTCTTTGATGCAAAGGCCTTGGAGCTATGCATCCTAATGCCCACTTCGAGTTTGTAATTTGTTCTACGTCTTGTGCATGGAAGAGGGCTTGTAAGGCATTCTCTCTATTTTTTTTTTTGGCGATTATAAAATAAACTAAAGGGTAAAAGATATGGTAAAAAATGCGAAAATGAACTCTTGTCGAAATGAAAGGCAGCTTACCTTAGGGTAGAGGAAATTACTTAAGAATGGGTGAGATGTGGTTCCAATTTTGGATTCTGATAAATCGAGTTCGGTTAAAAAAGCACAGGCAACTGATTCATTTAAAAAAAGTTCAGAGAATACATTGATCTAATCAAGTCTGTTAACTAGGTGAAGATTGAATCAGAAATCATGTCAATAAATCTGTTGCTTTCAGGATTGGAGAATCACAGCTTCTTTTACAGGAATCCCTTCATAAATCATCAAAAATGGCATGTGCTAAACAGCTCAATACAAAATCAAACATAACCAAAGTACCCTAGCATGGATATATAAATTTTTCATACAGCTCGCAAGCAGACTTTACAACTACCAGATACTCTACTTTACTAGAGAAGCTACAGAAAACATGACAACAAAGGTAAGATCTTATAAAGTAATTTGAAGCAAAGCTTAATTTACTCGAGCTTTTCCCTTCTCTCCCCTCCATGGATGTTTGCCTTTTTTAAAGATTGATTCAGGTACTCATTCGTGCTTTATTCTGGGATATTTATATGTATATAATAGTAGTTAATTGAGGAGCAATAACTGCTTAAATGTATGCGCAGTAAAATAATGAAGGCCAGTTTGTGCTGTAAGCTGAATGGATTCACGTGGTATCTTCTTCAACGGTAGCTGCTTTAACTACCAAATAATCATTCTTTATTAAAGCATAATTAAAATTTGTTTTCTCATTAACTTTTTTATAAGCCATCGTGCATGTTTATGTAGTAAACTATTTATTAATTAACAGGTTTGCTGCACTTTTTGCTACATGCCCTCATTACAAAGTACGAAAATTTGGGTTTAAACCGAAGCTAGCTAGCTGATGTTGGACCGTTAGCAACGCCATATTTTCTGACCACGGTTTTCTCTCATCTGCACTTTTTGTGCACAGCATTGCATAAGAACTTTCTTCTCAGATGGTCAAAGAATGCTTTTCATTTCTTTTCTTCTTTTAGTTTTTTTTTTAAAATTTCTCTTTAATAAAGATTTATTCAGATCTTCTTTTGAGAGCAATTGCTCTTTATTTAATTATTCGGGCGCAAATTGCTTTTAAGTCTTCACATTGCAGCATTAATTCTAAAGCCCCACCTGTCAAACAGCGATTATCAATGACTTTTGGAATATCTTATCATTGGAATTTATGCACCATCACAGGCAGCATTGTGTATCAATTAAAAAAAATAAAAGATATACTCTGATTGCTTGATTGAGTCTGAAAATGAGCATGACATTCGAAAACTCCAGTGGAGTCAATCACTGTTTATTAAGTCGTGTTTCGCGTGAGCTTTGGGTAATTACGATTGTAGCCGCATTTCCATCATTCAAGGAGATTTATATTTGTAAAAAAAAATAGAGAATAGTGATGTTCATGTAATTTTGTGGAGAAGAAAACAAGCATTCAGAAGTTTTGTTTTCTTTGTCCATCTCTGTTTTCTCTGTCAGGTTCACACTAATCTTCAATTAGAAGCGTTCTTTTTTTTCTTTGAATATAGCATATACCCATTTGGAAATACCTTACAAATTTGTGAGGGCAATCACGAAAAATTAGTATGCTAATGTTGAAAATCAAGTATATCAGGATGAATTAATATATATATATATATATTCTGCCAAAATAGAATAGTAGAACTAGAGTTGAAAATGTGTGAACTGAGCAGAGTCTGCAGACGATCCTTGTGAATAAGACGTACGCGGGCAAGGGGTCACAACTCACATGCAATGTCTATGCTTGCAGACAAAGAAGAATTTTTATGCAAATCCTCTTTGAAATTTGATGACATTTTCTTTTGTACCTACTTATGTTTGATAAATGTGTGGAGTAATTCCTCCCCCCTTGAAATTTGTGGAGATTTTTTTTCTTCCTGAATTGTTGGCTCTTGGATCACCTCCCCCCCAAAGAGACCCATCATTGTAGAAATAAAAATAAAAAAGTAACTAACAAACAAAAGAGTAAAATCTTTTAAACCCATCAGTGACTGGAAGCTGCTTTTTCCAACAAATGAAATTTGCTTGATCCACTAAATTACATGCAACTTCAGTGGAGGGAGCAATATCATTAGTGGCAATAATATTGCCAAACCCTTGACAACCTAAACAAATGGAGAAGCAATGGCATAATTAGGATTTTGGAATCGGAATTGATCTGATTTCAAATCTTTGATTTATCCACAATTTTAATTAGAATTCAGTTTGAAAAAAGAATCCACAGCAGTGGCATTTTGAGCTTTGTCTGTAGGTACAAGGACTGGAGAGGCACTGTGTGGTTAAGATATGAGTCAGAGTCATGTTACAGTCAGTAACAGATGGCGGGCTCACATCGTTAGTCTTGTGCAAACAAATTAAACACGATTCATTTGTTTGGTATATCCCCACTGGATGAGTTGAGTGGTCCACTTGTGGAATTGACAAGGGTATTGTCAAGAAAAGGCTAGTCAATGGTTTTGCCTGATAGATAGGGCCACCAATAATTCAACACTTGGGCTTGCCCTCTCAACTCACCAAGGACATCTCTGCTTTGATACACAAATTTATTTCTTCTCTTAGATAAAAGGAGAATATATATATATATATATATATCTTTTTTGTTTGTGAAATGTCTCTTTTAAAAAAGATATATTATCACATGGGTTTGGCTAGTGTGTGTGTGTAGAATCAGAATCTGTATGGATTCTTTGCTTGAGGGCATGTTTGGAGAATAAACAGTTACTGCTCAATTATGGATTGAAATAACAGAAAATGGATCTCATCCCACCACTCACCAATTTGCCCCAAGATAATTATGTTGTCCTTGTAACCACAAAATTCATTTCAGTTCATTTCATCTTTGATGAGAGGACAATGATAGATATCTTTTTCTTCTTTCCTTTTGTTCTGTCTTGTAATTACACTACATTCTGAGTCACATCCTTCTTTTTCTTTAATCCCTTTATTACATAGCGCAAACAGAATTCAAATTTGTTTTATAATCATTAAAACTTTTATTTATCCAAAGGAGCAAGGAAACTGAAAACCTTCTATATAGGAACTAAGAAACCAGAAATAATTATGAGGAAAACAATCGACAGGATGCAAAAAGACAACACAGTTAAATTAAAACTATATCCTTCCCATCCCAACTAATATAACACTACTGTTAACTAACTGATTGGGGATATGTTTCAGGTTAGAATTTAAGGTTCAATTTCAGAATCTTAAATTCAAATTCTATGATGGTTATAATGAGATTTATGAAATAAGAAGAGATTATTTTATATTGTATAGTATAATACTATATGTACAAAAGATTTTTAAATTATTAATACATCAAAATTGACACAAATTAATTTTTATATAAGTCACGTTAATTAGTTGCATGTGAAATTCATGAACCACGTAATTTAAAGAATATGAGTGAAAAAGAATAACACAATTTTCCATTTGCTACGGTACAATTTGATTCTGATCAAATGCCATTCAAACCCCTAAATCCTTGAGCCAAAAAGTTTAGTTGAATCCAAGACATAAATTCATTAGTTCTCAAAGAAAAATAGGTCAACAAAATCAGGCTAAACATTTTCACATTCCAGGACACAGCCCGAATCAGAAAACATGTTCCGAGGCAAAACATTGTAGCTTCTGCTACGAAGGCAAAGCGATCCATTTTTGGCATGTTGATATGCTACACGACATCGTTTTTACTGCACCAATAAGGCTCGAACGGCCAGCCATCACATGGCCCTTTGTTAAAAAAAAAACAACAATATTAACGGTCGAATACCCAAATGACCAAAACACCCATCAGGCTCCCTTCCAGGTACGGTCACGCGGAATTAACGCCTTAACCGTCGGTGGGGCCCCCTCAGCCCTAATGGCACCTAAGTAAATAGAACCAAAACTAGTGGATCCCATAGTCACACAAAAAAAAAAAAATAAAAGCAAAAAAAAAAAGGCACACATAGCTTTTCCTCTGCTTCTATATATGTATGTAACTCTGAACACTGTCTTCAGTCTAATGCTCGATGCAAATCAAAACTGTTGGCAGAACAAGCTAGCTCTATTACCTGCATTTTTCTAGCTAGTTTTTCTTTTATTTTTGCTTTTCATCTTAATTTGCAACATTCAAGGCTGAAACAAGTGGTGGCACCGCCAGTTAACACAATGCAGCGCCGCCGTGGATTCATTGGGGTTGTTGCATTATGTTGCCTAGTGTTGTTGGAGTGTTTGAAGGTGTCTGGTAAGGTTCCAGCTCCGGGAAAAGTTTCTGACCTACATTGGCATCCAGCCACCGCCACTTGGTACGGCAGTCCTGACGGAGACGGTAGCGACGGTAACTGCCCACCACTGGCTTCCATCCCCGTAATGTCATATGTTTTTAGATCTGCAACAGGGTTTTCTAGCATACTATATTAGCTGTTTTACAGTTTTTCTCGAGCCGACTAGTAGAGTTCCGAGTCGACTCAAGCTAATTAATCAGCTTTAAATGTTAAATGTCATGCTCAATTTTGTCTTAATTTTACTTTTCTAAGGTGAATTATCAAGTCAAAGTATCTCGCTTCGATTTTTCGGCCTAGTAATTGAAGTGTCAGGATATTTATATGCAGAATGTTGAGTGAAGTAAGGATTCTTGTGATTTTGTGCAGGAGGGGCATGTGGGTACGGCTCGTTAGTTGACGTGAAGCCACTTAGGGCCAGGGTGGGAGCGGTGAGCCCAGTGCTGTTCAAGAACGGGGAAGGGTGTGGGGCATGCTACAAAGTTAGGTGCCTAGACAAGAGCATATGCTCAAGGAGGGCCGTGACCATCATTGTAACCGACGAGTGCCCTGGAGGGTACTGCGCCAATGGCCGCACCCACTTCGACCTGAGTGGTGCAGCCTTTGGCCGCATGGCTATAAACGGTGAGAGTGCACAGCTCAGGAACCGAGGCGAACTCCCAGTCGTTTACAGAAGGTATGTCGTCTGCCTTGCTCTGTACCATGTTCTTATTCCTTGGTTCCTTCAACGGTCTTTCTTTTTTGTTGTCACTTCTATTTTGTCACTTTTCTTTCTTTCTTTCTTGGTTTTATTTTGGGAATAAGTCCGTTATTGCTTTTACTACTAAGGACTCTAGTAACTTTTTTTTAACCCTAATTACGACCACGCAACATGGCTAAAAGGTTTTTTATTTTCTTAATTTTGATGAAAATTGCCATAAGCCCATAGCCCCGCAACTTTCGAGTCGTATGGTATCATATTTTATGAAAAGAGTTTGTTTCTTGCGAGGGAATAAAAGGCAAAGAAAAAAAAATCCGAAGATCCGGATAAACTATTACGGCTGTCTCGATTTCACACGTAAATGGGTAGACCATTGACCGTACTTTTGACCTTTTACCACTAAAAATTAAAGAAAAGGGGCCACGTCCTGTCTGGGCTTCTGAGGCAAAGAATTCAAGGCCCAACAGTAAATTTGTTACAGTTTGCCTCAGTCTTTTTTCCACTTTTGTCTCCAACAGCATTGCTTTCTTATATTAAATATTGTGATTTAAATTATAGGACCCCATGTAAATATCCTGGGAAGAACATTGCCTTCCATGTTAATGAAGGTTCAACTGATTATTGGCTATCTCTTCTGGTGGAGTTTGAGGATGGAGATGGAGATGTTGGGTCAATGCATATAAGAGAAGTAAGTGCTATTTTCTTCTCGACAATTTCAACTGTTCATTTGGTTATAAAAGTTTTACGAAGGAAGTTATTTTGATTTCAATGCATAAATCTTTGTGACTTCCATGGCCCAATACAGGCAAAAGCAGAAAGCAAAAAGCAAAAAGCTCTCTTTAGGCTCCACAAAATTCAGATATGACTAACTTTAGGAAAATTCTTAGTGCTACATCAATAAAGTGCAAAAGATACTAGGCCTTCGCCTGCATCTTCAAAAGCCAGGCACTTTCACATTTACAATGAAAAAGGCCGCGTAAACTTGTTCAAAAAATTAGTCTCAAGGTAGTGTCCATACCTCAAAAAAGGTAATGGCCGGATGTTTTAAAATCATTAATTATTATTAACCTTTTTTTTAAAGATAGGCAGTTCCTAATATCATGGATTTGCCTGCTTAATCAGATGTCATTAACCCAACATATGGACATCTTGTTAGAAAACCTTGCCCTTTGCTTTGTCTACACAAACAATTAGGCTATTTTAATCAGTAGTAGTAATATTTTTGTGCTTATGGTTTGCCTAATGGCGCCAATGTGCAAAGTGCTGAAAAGCACTTTTTCTACTGTTACTTTTCCTTCCATTGACTACTTAAGACATATTATTGAATCTCGACTCAAATGCATGTGATATAGGGGCCAGGCCACGCTCAAAAATGTCCCATCCTTATAGCATGTTCAAAATTATTATTATTGTTATTTTTGTCATTTCTTTTCTTTTTCCTCCAAACCCATGAGGCAAAAGAATATCGTTTAGAAATTGTGACATTAGCATGTGAGTTGCTTTCCACTCGCACTATCTGATTAGTGTGTCCGCAAGCTATGGACAATAACCAAGTCTCAGCCACTTTTTGTTCTTAGCGTTTAACCCATTTTTTTCCATAGGTTTGAAGGTGAAAAAACACTTGCAAAAGTTCAAAGACTCGAAATCCACAAAACTAGATTGAGAGATAAACAGGGTTAGGTTCATATGCTGAATTGCAAAGACTAATGTATTTTTTGGCATTTGGATGTTGGCAGGCAAATTCTGATGAGTGGTTAGAGATGAATCATCTATGGGGAGCAAATTGGTGCATAATTAGGGGACCCTTGAAAGGACCATTCTCGGTGAAACTAACAACACTATCAACAGGAAGAGCGCTCTCTGCAAGGGATGTCATTCCAAGAAATTGGTCGCCAAAAGCAACTTACACCTCTCGCCTTAACTTCTTCTAACCGTGGAAAGTAATGCCAATTGGTTCATTGCACCCTAGTCCCCATGACACAAAAAGTATTCGTTGTCCCCCTCCTCCTTTTTTAAAAAAGAGAAGGTAATCGTTGGACAGCATAATAGCATCCAAGGGTCTTTCTTCTTCTGTTTCCACCCCACGAGTTTTCTCTACTTTAGTAGTGTGCAAGTGGTTGTAGATGTAGCCCTCTCCAAAGGAGAGAGTGCGTTTAGTATCGTTCCTGCCATTCGTGTTTGAATGTAAGTTTGTGGCCCAATGGATTTTAATGAAATTTGGAGCATTGAATGTAAGAGTACTAGTATTTATTGTGTGTCAATTTGTGCACGAACTTATCTTTCCTCTCCCAGGATCTTTATTCAAAATCTTACATACTTCAAACCGATTGAAGTTCAAATTTTCGTGGCTAAAGAATATAAGATGGTGAGCACGTTATTTTAATCAGCAAGATTATGAAAATAAGGAATGAGATTCCGCAACAAACCAAATTTTTGACATTAGAATATCTCAAAGAAATCTTGGAAGATCTGTATGCATAATATCCATAATAATTGTCAACATAATTATTACAATATTTTTGAAACATAGTATCATACTAAAGTTATCTATTTTGTATATATTCTTATCTTAAACACCATCTTGGCATTGTTTAAGCCAGATCTAACTTTCACAAAAAATGACCACCAATCAACATCACAGCCACTGTAACACCAGAAATCTTGGTATTCGCTATTTACATTGTTTTGAGTTGTGATGAATCCAGGTCACCTTTGGACCACCGCACCGCACCCATGTGCTCGCCATGTGTCGACGTCATCCGCCATGCCATGCTGGCTAGTCCGCAAGAGTCGTTGTGCGTTGGTTCACATTATTTAGTCACATTCAAAGTGTTCCAATGTCGTAACTGTTGCCGTAGCAAAGCAGCTACTGAGTGCTGACAAGGGGTCTGTGACCACCACACACGTGCAGCATATCCCGTTTGAATCCTCATAGAAACACCCTTGTCATTGAAAACTCAAAAGAAGAAAAAAAAAAAGGGCATCTTATTTCCCCTCTAGGCCTAATGTCTTTATTGTCACGTGGGAGGCCACATGTTTGTTGTGGATAGGGTTAATGGTAGATCATAACAACGACATCTCCTTTGCAAATTCTAATATATATATATATATATATATAAAAGAAATTTTCCCTTGTAATGTTGATGGGAAATTCTAATCCGCTCTTTTAAACTGGTGTTGTGATCAATCTAACATATGGCCAACAGAAATTAGAGATATTGAATGCAAGTGGCAGTTTAAGTTTGATAAAATAAGGGGTAGACTATGTGGAAACTAAAGCAATGGCCAACTATACTCATGATCTAATCTTTCAATTTTTGTTTTGTTACATTTTACTTTTTTTTACTTTTATTTTGATCGTTATATTGCATAGTTAATCTTGATCGTTGATAAATAGGTTGGAGATATAGGAATAAATAAAGGGATGATCGGCAACCTCCAGGACTTTGATTGATGGTGTTTATTTTAGCATTATATAGAAGACGGTTGGCAATTATGTCCTTTACCTTGAAGAATAAACAAACAGAAAACGTTAGAGATAGTAAAAGCAAGAACAAACATTCATTCGATTCTTTTTTCAGAGTAATGGCTCGCTCAAGAGTCATGTAGCACAGGCAGGTGTCTAGGACCGCAGTTCAGGACATTAGAAAGAGCTTGGGGTGTTTCGGAGTGCCGGCATATGGGGGAGTATTGCTGGGAGAAAACTCCTGCTTGGTAGCATGGGGCAAATGTAAGCTGCACAGCAGACGCACGCAGCACTGGCACCTAGACGAGTTGGGTGGTCTGAAGAACCATCACGTGACACAGGGACTTGGATAGATGAATGTAGTACTGAATAGCGGAAGAAAAGCCTTGCTAGATAACAAAAGGAAGCAATAGAGAATCTTCCTTTAAATATAGTGCCTACAAATTACATTTTCAAAATCAAGTTAGGAAGAAAGCTCTCTGCTGCTCATGCAGCAGATTTCAAAGTCATCTGCGGGTCTCTGCTCTTATTCTCCATCAGGAATGGTTAAGCCAAGCTTAAAAATAAACCAAGAAATTATAAACACGAGAAAAGGAAAAAAAAATATGGTTGTCATCACTTGGAATCATCAGCATCAGGTTTAGCTGTATTCTCAGCCTCAGCTGGAGCTGGGGTCTCTGGTTTTGGTTCCTCCGGAGCACCGTCAGTAGCGGGATCTTTCCCTGGTAAAGCAGGTTTATTTTCAGCAGGAGCACTGGAATCAGTTGGAGTTGAATTTTTGTCATTCTTGGCATCCTTCCTTTCTTTTGCATCTTTTCCATCTTTCTCCTCTTTTCCATTTTTGCCATCCTTACCATCTTTCGGTGGAGGCATCATATGAGGTGGAGGGTTCTGTTTCAGCTTCAAGAAAATTTGCCTCATTCTAGAAAGATCAGTAGGCTTCCCAGGCTTTGGACCTTGAATGACAACAACTGAAGGCTTTTTGTCAGGATCTTTCTTCCCTCTCCTCCTTTCAATATTAGGGACCTCACAAGGAATGAGCTCGGCAATTGCTTTCCAGTAGTGCTCGTGAGCTTCTTTGTGGAACTTTTCTTGGTTAGCCAAGTACAGCTGCATAACAATACAAAACTGATTTAGTTTAGTCTTGTAAAGCAAAGAGAAGAGAAAGGCAGGGAAAAGCAATACAAAACAACATTTCTGATTTCTAAACTTTCTAGTTTCTACCTTCTCTCTTTCTCTGTTATTAGCCTTGTTGGTTTCACAATTTTGATTCCTTTTCTCATAGAAAGATCGCTTGTATTCTTCTGCTTCAGCAATGATCTGATTCCGCATCTCCTTCTCTTTTTTCTCCTTTTCCTCAAGATGGATGGCGTTTAGGCTAAATCAAAGGAATTGAAAAGAGTAGAATCAACAGATTTGATATTCCATGATTGGCAAATAAAGAACAATTCGGAAATGAGATTTAATATAATTGTACCACAATTTCCTAAAACCCCAGAACCATGCAAATCACTGAAGTTTTAGTCACCTAATAAGATATCATACAGCGCACCGGAACATGCAAGTTCCCATTTCTCCTGTGCTTAATCTAGAAGCAAAGAATTAAAACATCTTTTACATTGGCATAGAACGGTGGAGGAATGGATCTTTGTAGATAATTAAAAAAAAACAAGTTACACGTTGAATTAAACTGCAAAGATGGAAACCCAGGCTTAATTATATCAAGTTTGAAAAGCCATTTCAAGGCTGAAAAAGGAAAATGACAAGTTCACGTTTCACCTGGAGATCACAAGATTTCAAAAGGATAATTTATTCTCCACCAATTCCATTTATAATTGAGGTTTGTGGTTTTTTGCACTCTGGAAAAAGAAGAATGTAACATAAGCATGATATTAATTGCATAATGTGCCAAACATAATGCTTAATCAACTTAAAAATCTAGCTTTACCTTCATAAGCATATTAGCCAACTAAATTAAAGCAACGCTACCAGGAGTACAGGATGGTTGAAGACAAAGAAGAAGGGGTGGAAGATTTTGCATTATGAAACTATACTCTAAATGCTGACAAGTAAAAAGGGCTGAAGAACAGAGTACCAATGCAATACCTTGGCTTATGGGATGACAAAAGAAAACGATTCTGTCAAATTCATTAAGTAAAAAACATGGGTATTAACGAAGAACAAGTACACAAATTGATATAAACTTGCAAAACTCAAAATCCCATGTATGTTATCTCATGACCCACAAGAGAAATGCAGTCTTCTTGAATCAAGTGGCAAGGGAAGAATTACCAAGACGCATAGACTTTAAGAAAAAATAAAGAGAGAGAGAGAGAGAGAGAGAGAGAGAGAGAGAGAGAGGAGTAGGAACGTCCATGCATATTAAATGGAAAACGTCTCGTAGTATTATAGGACTAAGGAATTCTTATTTGACTTCCCTATAACGCTCATTGTGCCTCTTAACTTCAACTCCTAAAGGAAAACAGTTGATCATCATGAATTTAACCATTGTTCATGTTGCAAACTAGGAAGCTATGTTGCCAGCAGCTTTCTTAAATCTTTTTCCTAAAATTAATGAAGACGCTAGCTTCTCAAAACTGTATTCATGTGTTATATATCTACTTCTTAGTTAAATCACAAACAAAACCCATTAATTTAGCATCCTCAATCGTAAACGCATCTTATGGTCATATCAAATTCCAACTGCTTAGATCCTACATGCAAATGCATGTATAAAAAAGATGTATATCCTTCTGTAAACCTAGGAAACAAACATATGGTCCCAAAGAAAAAGGTAAAGAAAACAAACCGGCGCCATTCACGTCTCGCGATGCCTTCCTCTCGCATCTGTTCAGGCGGAGGCAACATCGGCCCATCAGAGGCAAAAATCCCATCATCATCATCACCACCAATTGCACCACCATCAACATCTCCAACTCCATCCTTCAGAGACATATCAAAAGGCGTCGCGTAGTCAGTGTCGGTCGCGGGTATCCCGAACCCGTAAACATCCGGAGAGTGCAGGTCATTGTTGTTGGTAGTGTCAAAATAATCATTGGTGTCGTGAGCAGGATCATTGGTGAGATCATCGGAAGGGAAAGCATGGGGAGGAGGGAAAGAGGAGGAGTCGTAGCCCATGTAGGCGGCGTCGTGGTCAAGAGGGCGAGAGGAGGAATTGTGATCTTCTCCTCCGTCATTGCTCATCGTGTCGAAGGACGCCATGTTGAATGGGAGAGATAGAGGGAGCTTTGGTTATGTTGGTGGGTTGCGGTGGGAGTATGGGGGCATCAGGTATGAGCTATTTTTTCTCGGGATAGATCGTTGAGTTCGGATCCAGAGAGGGAAGAGGGAGTTCGTTGGGTTAGGGGTGGATATCTGATACTAATCATTAGAATGGTTGATAGGTTTGGTAGGATGGCAACCTTAACTTGCTAGCAACTGGAATCAAATGTGTTGAGTTCTACCTCAAAACATAAGAAGCTAGTCGGGAGTTAGGACTTAGGATTATACACACTTTCCAAAATGTAATGTATTACTAATGGCTATTGCTCTAAATTCTAATCCAGTACTAATCACTCTAACCAACTACCATATGTTAAAAGGTCATTGTTCTTATCAACTTAGAAACAAAATATAACTACCTGGAAAGTAGAATTTTTGAAGAAAAAAAAGGGATTTATGATTTTACTAATTCTTTATATTTGTTTAATTCATTTTTGAAATTTAGATTCAATCTGAGACTATACCTCTCTTATTTCAAATTTTGAGAATCCTAGACAGGAAATAGTTGCAGTAAATAATAGAAAAAATGAAAGGACTGCATGAATATATAATTTAAAAAATGCATATTAAAGCATATGCGGGGATAGCTCAGTTGGGAGAGCGTCAGACTGAAGATCTGAAGGTCGCGTGTTCGATCCACGCTCACCGCATTTAATTCACTTTTTAGCTTTTTAATTTTTCGATGGACTTTTTTATCTTTAATTTTTAGCTCTCTATCTTTTTTTTTTTGGCATTTAAATAAACCTTTAAACTCTAGTTTTAACTCAAATAAGTCTCTAAAAACGATTTTGAGAATAGGATAGCTAATATAAAGTTGTTGTGTTTGGGATTTTTGAAAATGATTACTGTGTGACAACCACTAGGACCAGCAAGCCTTTGAGTGAAGCCACCCAAACAAGGGCTTTAGGCCCCCAATTTGAGAAGATCTTATAATTTTATAATATAATTTATTATATTAAAAATATATAAGAATTAAAAAAATATAAAAATAATTAATAATTAATAAAATTACTTATTTTTTCACTTTTTTAATTATGTGCTTAATAAATCTCAATTTTATATCATTTTTTAATTTTTAGAACGTTATATTATTTTCAATCAATTAACAGTCATATATATTTAATAATTTTTAACAACTATTTTTTTCTTATTTATTTCTCTTATTTTCAATTAATATATTTAATGATTTCTAACAACTATTTTTTTCAATATATAAAACCAATTATTTCTTTTTTAATATATAATATTTACTTTTGAATTTTTCTTTTCTCATTTCCTTTTTCTTCTTACTTCTTTTATTTCAAATTTCCTCCAAAGAATACATAAGAAGTTTATTATGTTATTATTTTCATAAAGCCATGAGCCTCATTCACGGTTTATAATAAGCATTCAACAATGAGATACTATTGTTTTAATATTTACAATCTTTTTTATTATAATTTATAATTTATATTATATTATTATATTACCTTTATTTTATGTGATAATTGATTTATTTGAATTAAAAAATTTGATTGTTGATTTTGTATTAGTCATTTAAAAAATATAAAAATTTTGCATATCAAAAAACTAGAAAAATAAAATTTTAATAATTATTTTAATTTCAATAAAAGAAGGTTTTATTGAATATTTCACTTTAGGCCTTTGAACATATTGAGCCACCCCTGAGAACAAGAAAATGAAAAACTTTTATAGATAAAGAGGGGGGGGGGGGGGGGGGGGGGTGTAATCATAGATTTGCAAAATATGAGAAGCAAAGAAAATACTAATTATGATTATCCATCTCAAGTGTAAAACTTGTGCCTCCCAACTCTGGTAAGTATCCTCTTATCAAAATTATGTTTGGGTATTCTTGGACTTTTCTACACTAATTTTTAGTAGAACAACAATAGCTTCAATCGAATTGAAATAGTTACATTAGTCTCTTTTTAAGAATGATGGTTTCAATTAAAAAGATAATAATTAGTTAAGAAACAATGATAATCAATTTGAAACAATTAATTTGTTTTTAATTTGTTGTTTCAAATATCTGATCAATAATTCTTGTATATTTATATGGATAATAAAAAGAAAAAAACTCAATTCTTAATCGATAATCTTTTTATGTCACTTTATCTATCACATGATATTATCATCATCAAAATCATACATCAATATACCACGTGACAAATGACATAACACAAAAAATTATTAACAGTATAATTAAATAATAGAAATTAGTCAACGGTTAAAGAAAGAGGGACTTATTTGATTTAAAATAAGAGTTTAGGGACTTCTTTGAGTATAATAAAATAATATAGGTTAAATTAAATTTTTTGATATAATTTGAGGATATATTTGGATATTTAACATTTTCCTTTTAAGCTTTTATCTTTAATTGTCTGAACCAATCTTTTTTCCTAAACAACAGATGGGCCTTTTTATCTAATTTTCTGAACCGATCTTTTTTCTGAACGACAGATGAGAGCCCCGCAGCTTGACCGAAACCTTAGCAACGTGGAGGCAGATCTTTGCCTCTCGCAACACATGCCTGTTTTTTAAAACTCAAAAGTCAACCACCTCAAACTTCCATCTCTCTCCCCTCCTCATCTGAGCATTCCGATTCTGCGAGAAGAACAGGAATAACAATGGTGGATCGTTTCTTTCCGAATGTGCTGCCAGACTTCGTATCCGAAACAACGGAACAAAAAGAAGAAGTCGGAGATACTCTGATGAAACTCCTATCCATGCCCTACTCTTCTCTTTCTCAACATTTCAAACGCGCCGCTTTGGACCTCAAAGAAACCGTTGCCTCCCTCTTTTCCATTTCTCTCTTTCTTCTTGCTTTTTGGTACCCTGTTCATTAACTGGAAAACCTCACCAAATGTTTGTCTTATTGACGCAGGTAACGCTGGACACGTGGGGATTGACAGGGCAGGAAGTGTCAGACTTTACCCTCTATTGTGGCACTCTGGGCACCGCTTTCATACTCTTCAAATCCTATCAACTTACCAACAACACCGCCGATCTCTCCCTCTGCTTAGCCATCGTTGATGCTTGCAACTCCGCTTCCTTTTCTTCTCGGTACACCAATCTACCTTTGCTCGATACTAAATTGGGTTAAATTCAGTTTATTGATATGAATTTAAAACAGAGATGTAACCTTTTTGTGTGGTCGAGCGGGTGTTTGTGCTCTTGGTGCTGTAGCTGCAAAGCATGCTGGAAATCAAGAGTTACTTGATTACTACTTAACCCAGTTCAAAGGGGTATTTTTCTGATAAATTTTCAATATTTTGATAGTATTTCTACATGTAAATTTTTACTTATATGATTGATGGAACAGATTAATCTCTCAAGTAATCTCCCTGATGAGTTATTGTATGGAAGAGCTGGGTTTTTATGGGCTTGTGTGTTCTTGAACAAGCATCTAGGTGAAGGGACTATTCCTTCTACAACCACTGTAAGTATATATGTTAATAGATTATTATCTCTAAAGAAGGGTGGATCAGAAGTGAATCTCTTTGGGTTTTTGTTGTGTAGCGTGCAGTTGTTGATGAGATCATCAAGAATGGAAGGCTGTTAGCGAAGAAAGGAGGAGGAAGTCCTTTGATGTTTGAATGCTATGGAGAAAAGTATTGGGGTGCTGCACATGGATTGGCAGGTATTATGCATGTTTTAATGGACATGGAGTTGAAACCAGATGAGATTATGGATGTAAAGGGCACTCTTAGATACATGATTAGGAACCGATTCCCGAGTGGGAACTACCCTGCAAGTGAACAAGATAGAAAGAGGGATGTTCTTGTGCATTGGTGTCATGGAGCTCCAGGGATCGCCCTCACTCTGGTCAAGGCTGCTGAGGTAAGATTTAATTTATATAGTTCAGTGAAACTATTTGAAGCCCTCTATTGAAACTATATTTAAATGTAGTCAAATATTGTGTTATTCTTTAGAGGTCCTGTTCATGGAAATCACTAGATTCTCAGCAAAAGAATTAAAATTAGCAGCAAGCAACGATTTGTGGACTACGAAAAAAATTAGAATTGGTCAGGAGCACCCTTTCGCTACTGCTTTGCCAAGAATTTCTGTGTTCTTCAGGTTTTTGGGGATGATGAATTTCTGGAAGCAGCTGTGGATGCAGCAGAGGTGGTTTTCAACCGTGGGTTGCTGAAGCGAGTTGGAATTTGCCATGGCATTAGTGGGAATGCTTATGTTTTCCTCTCACTCTACCGAAAAACAGGCAATGTGGAGTTCTTATACAGGGCCAAAGCATTTGCTTGCTTTCTGCTTGATCGGGCTCACAAGCTTATATCCAAGGGAGAGATGCATGGAGGCGATAAGCTCTATTCCCTGTTTGAAGGGATAGGGGGTATGGCGTATCTTTTCCTAGACATGATTGAGCCCTTGGGGGCCCGATTCCCAGCATATGAGCTTTAAGTTGTAGACTAATTTAAATATATGTTGCTTGTGGTAGCACCACTTGCCTTGAATATATATTGTGCGAAGACGAGTTCATATCACCTACAATGAATGGTATGCAATTATGAAATCTCAAGCATGTATGAGTTCGGGAACATTTGGGATTTTGTATAGTTCTCATGATGAATGGGTAGGGATTAAATAATTTTAGAATTATAATGAAAAATAATTGCAAGTGATTATGAACCGATAATAATGTTCTGTAGTTAACTTTCAATAATAATAATAATAATAATAATAATGGGCTGTAGTTTCAAAAACATAATTATCTCAATGTAGGAAATTTAGTGGCAGCTCTTTTTCTTTTTCTTCTTTTGTATTCTACCGAGGATTGTAATATAGTACAATAAGTAGTATATGAAGTATTTGAGTTGTCTAGATTCAGGAACAAATTTAGAAAACAACATGCACACCTTGTTTTTGATCATACTCTTTTGGCTCGAGTTGCTCCAGAAACCTGGTGCCAAGTTAAACTGGTTCTCACGTTAATTTCGGAACTTCTGGTTTTGTACTCTCTAGATTCGTCAATCAATGAAGCCGTTTCAAATTTGCCTGGATAGGTGATGCCAAGAAAGTCTTTTAGTTTGGGTTTGGGTGGTTAATTTTTTTTTCTCAATTTGTATTAAAATTATTGAAACAATGTAAAGATCAGCTCATATATGAGGATCAAGGTAAGGATATACAATCGAGGTACAAGCCTACTGGTACTCGGTATCATTAAACAAAAGATTTGCCTATTGGCGCTTAACACTGTTAGACAATACAAAAGTCATAAGCAAATCAAAACATTAACATAAGACAAAAGCCAGCTCAACCCAATACAAACATTAAAAGTTATCGCTATATTGAGAACATCGTGTTTCTATCAATTCCAAACTTCGTTAAAAATTTTGCAAAATAATTACTTTCTCGTAGAATACGAATAAAGGACATCATGCCTAGTAAAAGAACAAGTGCATCAATCTAATTAAATAAATACCACTTGTCCTAAGGCCTCTTATCAGTGTTGGTCACCCACAATAAAGCATTCTGAGAGTTAGATTTAATAATCAACTTAGAAATTGTAAAGAAGGAGCAAGATAAAAGGCATACTGTGTGAAGCATGGCGATAAGCTTTGCAAAGTTGTAATCTTGGATGCCCAGTGTGCCAAAGAAGACACCCACCACATAACCATAAGAGTTGCGTAGGATTCCACCGCATCTTGCTGAGCCCGGTATATCCCTTACTAAACCATTCACATTGAATTTAAACTCACCTTCAGATGGAGGTATCAAAGAGACCCCTAGTCATGAGTGGAAAGAAGATCGTCTAATAGATGTGTTTTAGGGTTCGGATCACCAGCCGATATCATTAATTGCATCAATGTCCTCACATGCGTGCACCCAAAGCATAGATCACATTTTAATAAGAAAAAATATTTCAAACCCATCCCATACTTTGCTGTTAAAGACCAACTCGTTATGAGCCAACCATAGAGACCAAAACATGGCACCACAAACTAGGGTCGAACCTAAAAATTTTTTTGAGTGTAATTAGGTTGATACTCAGAATTTTTTTTTGGATTTAAGATTTATTGAGAGAGTACTTAAATTAAATTTAACATGACTTTACTTAAAAGGAATACTGTTGAATGCCATCATTAGTAGAATTTTGTTATTGTTGCCCAAGATATGAGGTTTGTAAGACAATTTTTTTGCTTTTGAAATATTTTTTCATAGCTTATTTATCTAGAATTATAAAACTTGTTAAAAATTACTACTTATTAGCATAAATTAAAATATTAAAATTAAATAAAATATAATCTTATATAGTAAATTATCATATTTAGTAACTAACAATACGATAATTTTCTATTCATTGATATCAAAACTAAATATAAACATCTTAAATACAAAAATTAAACAATCAAATAATACATCTACAAAATAAATTAAAAAAATTTATAATTTTAAGATATTATTTGACATGTAATACTATTTTTTATTAGCTAGATTACAATTATGAATCTAAATTATCAAATTAATTAAAAAAATTTTAGATATGAAGTATTTAAAAATTTAATTTGAATTGAAAATTACTCTAAAGACCAAAAAGGAGAAGGACTTGAATTTTTAGATAGTGAGAGTAGTTTAGATTTTGATATTTTTTAATAAAATTTTAAATTATAGAATAATTTTTTTTATTTGTCCTTAGTAGTATTTAACTATTAATATATAAATTATCTTTTGATAAATCATTTTTACTTGAAATCTTTGACCTCAATTATTATAAAATTACAAAAAAATGAATTCATTAATATATTAATTATTCTAAATTTTAAATAAATACTATAAAAATTACAATATTTTAAAAAGTGAATAGTGTCATGTGACACTACTCTCCCAAAGTGGATCAACCTATGCCACAAACTATCATCCACGGCTTGTGTGTCTCGATTGCCAAGGTACAGCCAGCTCAATACTGCAAAATGGCTGATATAGTACAAGGAGAAGACCATAACGTCCCTACCATTGAAGGACAAGGCCCCATACTGTCTAGTTATTAAATATCTGTCACCGCAACATGTTGGACACCCGGCCTTTATAAAATTTCTAGTTTTGTTGCACTATTAAATATTAATTCCTCAGTTTGGGGGGATTGCTTTCCAATGTATTTCGGCTGGTTTGATTCATTGTGATCTTTGCCATATTTTGGTTATTATAGAATTCCCATAGAGTTTCAGATTTACCCTTTTTTTGTTTGGAGTTATAGGTTTATGTTCAGTATTTTTCCATCCTAATTGGATGGTCGAATGTATCCACTTCCCATGGAATTAAATTCCTTTTGCCTTGCCTTTCAACAAGAAATGCTGGTGTAAGAGAGTAATTTATGTACCGGCATGACTCCACAATGGTGAATAACACATTTAATTAAACTGAAAAACAGATGTTCTTCTAATACATTCAACGTCGACATAACTGAGGTCATTATTGTTGTAGGAGATGAGCTCCTTTATTCACAGTGCAAACACAGGATTCCTGTGCAAGGACCGGCCATAGCCATCTGCTGCAAATAAGGGTGATAAAAGTAGCAACTGAATTTCTACCTACGTACTAGCTCCAGCTCCTTTATTCGCAGTGTTTGTTGAGGAAGGAAATGATGAGTTGATTCACCTCCTCAGGAGCTTGTTCTTGAACGAAATGGTTTCCTTCTGACATAAATGTGACATCCAAATTGGGCACAGACTCCTTGATTTTGCCACTCCTAATGTAGTCTTCCAACCCTGGGAATTTCATGATGTAGTCTTTCTCTCCCACGATTACAAGTCCTGGAGCTGTGATTTTCCGATCATCCAGACCGCAAGGAACCATCATAGTCCTGCGCGTAATAGAATATTTGAATAAAATTACGTCAGGCATAACATAGTGAATTTGACTGTAGTTCTCATGGATCTCGAAGAGAGTCTTTGGGGGTCTGATTGGAACAAAATAAGCACCCATGTGAAAGAAAAATTACTAACAGCTCTTCTCGGTGTCAGAAAATTGTTCATTTTTCTTCAATGTTGAAGGTTGACTTGGGAAAAGCTTTTCTGTTTACCTGTATGGAACTTGCAATGCCGTACGGAAGCCGCATTTCTCGTATAGAGATCCATACTCTGCGAGCTCCTCCTCACTGAACCATGGTGGTAGCGGAGCAGAGGAGTCAACCAAGTCCATAATCTCCTGATTATCAGCAGCAACAGGGGGTAGACTTCCAGAGAACATAATATAAACCTTTCGTATCACTGTCTTCGCGTCAAAGCGGGCAAAATCTGCTTCAGCTTTTCCTGGAATCTGGGAATTTACAGGGCACCTGGTAAGACATCATGTGGAAACAAGTTTTCCAATCCATGGAGAACGCATCAACGAGACATATGATGGCAGATGAAACTTACCATCCACCTTAACATATAAAAGCCTGGTGGAATGAGAGGAAGTTGACTCTGAAGAGGAGAGAGACCTGGTAGTAGGAAAGGAACGCCAAGTAAGACGATGCTGGACACCCTATCAGGGTAGAGTATAGCCAGCATGGCTGCTACGAAGGCTCCGAAATCCTTTGCAACAATATGAGCCTGGTGGTTTCAACAATTAAAATTAACATGTATTCAATTAATGAAGTGTCTGGAAGTAATTAAATTCACTTATCAAAGTCAGTAAATTGAAACGGGACCTTAGTAATGCCCAAAGAATCAAGAAGGGCAACAACATCGTCAACAAAGTCATTAAAGGTTGCCTTCTCTGGCTCTGATGGATGCTCTGAGAGTCCATAACCTCTAAAATCAACAGAAATTGCTCGGTAGCCAGCATTAGCCACGGCGATCATCTGGTGCCTCCATGAATACCAAATTTCTGGGAATCCATGCAAGAACACCACCACCTTAGGACCTGCACAGAATTTAGCCCCACCGTCTTTAGAAAGCTATTAATTAGTAACCCATGATGTACGATACAATAAGCAGATGAAATGACTTCAAAAGAAAATTCTCTAGCGTATCAGGACCAGACTTGCATATATAAATTTCTAACCAGTTCCAATCTCGGCCACATGAAGCTTAAGTCCTTTCGCTTGAACATGGCTGTGCTGAATCTTGTCCATTGTTTCAAGAGATCAAGTTCACTGAGATGATGCCTTGGTGAGAGCGAAGTTAAGAGCTTCCTTTAGATCAAGCTATTTAAGGGGTAATGATCTAAATATCTGTCTTCTAACTAGTGGTCATAAGTGAAGTTACATAAAATATAATAATAAATGATTTAAGGAAGAACAAGTCATTTTTTTAAACAAAAACTATTGTTTCTTCCACTCCTGCCACGTTTCGTTCCTGCTCCAGAAGACTGCAACTGTACAGGTAATGAATTAATTGCCACTTAAACAATAATTTCAATCCCTGTTCTGACAAAATGGGGATAGAGGCTCAATACCCCTTTAAACGTTTTAATATAATTGATGCAAACTCGTAAATTTTGAAAAGGACTGATGCTTTGATACTCAACTACCCTCATTCAAGAGTACTGATTGTTTGATTCTGATTGTAAATACTTTAGCATATATTTGTGATGATTAATTAACCATCACATGCTAATATATAATATGCTTTTTGTTATGCGCAATCAGAAATTTGTTATCTTCTTCAACGAAGACTTGTCACCTTATCAACAAAATTATTTTATTGTCTTAATTTTATTGTCCTTATCTAATTATTTTAAAGAGTTTAAGAAAAGAAATTTTCTTTAAAGTATTTTATATTAAAATTTTATTTTTTTCGTATAAAATTGATGCTCCATAACTTTTAATGACTAAAAGTAAAAAAAAATTCACATTTGAGTATTTGATTTATTAAAAAGTAAGGTTCGAATATCTCTTTTCTCAATTTAAAAAAAATCATAAAAATAATTTTATTAAAAAAGTAAGTGTATTAGCCTATTGTTATGTCTTTAAAAACAAAGAAGAGAGAAGACATAATTTCAAAACATTGGAAAAATAAAAGTGAATAAACAAAATTAGATAAAATGACTGAAATTTTTATTAATTTTTAATATAAAATATAATTATATAATATAGAAAAATAAAAATATTAATTATCTGAAAATGAAAAAAAAGAAAGAACAACGAATAACAAACAACAAGTTAAAAGCTTATAAAGTAGAAGTATTATTTACTTTTATCTTATGGATGGAAAATGGAAAGTGTGGTATGCTTGGAGCTAATAAAAGATGAGATGAATTTTGTACATATAAATATGAATTTTTCATCATTTATCGAGTATATTTTTTAAATTCAAAAATGTAAACACGTGACACTGCATTAATCTTTGAAAATACAAAGATTGAGCTTGACCTACATTAATGTAAATAGAGAAGTTTTTTGAATTAAAAAAATATACCCATGACACTTGTACCTTAGATACAACTTACACTTTTTCTAGACTTGATTGGATTCATATATTTAAATTAACTCTGCATCGCTCTTTGACAAGTAACTTTGAGGTCGCTTTAGCATCAGATTAATTACATTATTTTGTCTCGCAATAACCTTCTTTTTGTTTATGAATTTGTTTTGGGAGAAATCACATTTTGCAACTAATTGATCTGAAATATGTCTCTTAGTACAGCTAATGATGGAATCCTGAATCTGATTTTCAATATCAAGAAAGATTTAAATTGTTAATATGGCAGGGCACGGCACATGGACCCTTCCAGACTGGCTTCGTCAGATAAGGCTAAAGAGGAGCAATCACATCGAACCACAATCATGTGCACCAATTTGTCGTTTAGGAATTAGGAGGTACAACTTGAGTAGGGTGTTTATATCATTTTTAAATGTTTTTCCCCATGTATATCCATACCGTAATTAAGCATAAATATATACACCATGTGACAAACGTTTCTACTCATGCTCAACTTTTTATCTTTTTGTTTATCAGCCAATCATGCTTCATCACACCTAAATCTCTTGTTTCTTTGTTTCTTTCCATGACAACAGTGGGTAACCTTCCAGACCTTTTCACATCTGAGTTGTAGAAAACTTTCTATGGTTTCTTCTATTGTTCGGTGGGTGGGGCATTGGGGCTTGGGGCTTGGGACTCGGTGGTGGATGACTGTACGCCCATAGTATTAGCATCTTAGTCTTATTCATTGCAGAATGAAGGTCTCCATCAGTACATATTGAGTTGTACACTAGTAGCATATTTTCGGGACAAAGAATTATGTGATATTGTGGAGGAAACGCTGTAAACATCAGACGCTTTCCTCCAATTTTGAACTTCTAAGACTTCTAATAAAAAATTATAGTTTCAAAAACTATCCATTCTTCTTGGAGTGGAATCATCTACTTGATACTTAAACTTCCTAGCTATCATGTTAATTTGGACTATTTCAATCAGCTTAGCCAATCCTCCAGATGCTAGCTTGTCAGTTGTGACCCTAAGTTGCACTTGCACCAAACTCTTGTGCTAGTTTTTGCTCCTTTCTCCAACTTGGTGTAGCTGTAACCTTGTAATGCGAATTGCATGTTTCTTATATTACAGTTGGCTGTAACTTTGAACTTATTGCTTTAATCATGGATGCTTCAGTTGGCAAGTTTGGATGAATAATTCATGTGTTTGAAGTCTATCATTTGATGCCAAAGCCAGGAGGATAATTCAGATACATATGTTTCAAACTTTCAATCACTTTTGGGTATGTGAATGAGGCATCAAAACCACAAATTAAGATCAGAGGGTAAGGCAAGTTGTCTTAGTAGCTGTTACGGCTTGGCCTTTAGCACAGGCAAAGGGGATTTATTCTTCTCACTTTTGACTCTTCTGTACCACAAAAGATGTTCAAAAACCAGCTTCATCAAATAAAATGTTTGCTGAGGAAAGTGATGATGAGCTCATTCACCTGCTCTGGAAGTTGCTCTTGACAAAGTGATTCCCTTCTGGCATAAAGTGATGTCCAGATTGGGCATAGACTGCTTCACTAACCCTTTCCTCATGTAGTCCTCCATCCCCGGGAATTTTATAAAATAGTCCTTCTCACCCATGATCAGTAATGATGGAGCTGTGACTTTTGGATTGATTACACCATAATCCAATTGAGAGCACCTGTAGTTGAGGACAAGCAAGTTTGGTCACAGCTATGTCTACCATAAGTAATAACTTTGTAGCTGATGATGTTCTGAATTTCAAGGAAAATAAGCCCCAAATTTAGGGTCATAGAACAAGAATTTTCTACCTAGTCGGAATAGTTTTTGTAGCATTTCCTTCTGTAAAGAAAATCGCAAACAGTTATTTTGGATGCTATTTGAGGGGGCAGGCAGTTCATTGTTTTGTTTACCTGTAAGGAACCTGCAGTGCGGTTCAAAAGCCAGAATTTCTATATAAAGTTGCATAGACATCAAGATCGTCCTCTGTGAACCATGGTGGCAGAGGAGTAGATGGATCCACCAAGTCCATTATCTCCTGATCATCACCAGCTACTTGTAGCTCACTTCCAGAGAAGAGAATGTAAATGTTTCTTACCACTGTCTTAACATCAAAACGGCCAAAATCTGCTTCTGCTCTCCCTGGTTCCTGCATTTATATCATCAAATTCTCATCACCAATAAGTATAGGTTTATAATGAATTATATGGCCTTTGCAAGAAGTTAATTACCGCCCATCTTAATACGTAGAAGCCTTTCGGGAGGAGATCAAATTGGGTACCAACAGGACCTGGTATCAGGAAAGGAATGCCTAGTGTAATCACACCTGACACTCTATCAGGGTGGACAGCAGCTAGCAGGAATGCAGGCACAGCTCCAAAGTCCTTCCCAACAAGAAAAGCCTATATAAGTTTTACCATATGGTTAAAGTTAATTGGCATTATTAATCTATAAACATAACATGCTTATAAAACTACCAATTTATATGCACAAGAGCAAACAATAGTCGTCACTTCACCAAGTGATAATCAAGTCCAAAGACTTGTCTGAATTAGGCCTGTGGCACTCAAAGTGTAAATGTTAAGACAGCTGAGAGCTGAAAGTGATAACTGGTAGCCTAAAATGGAAACCGAAGATAAGGGTTTACCTTTTTTTTGCTTTAACCGCCAGCGTGAATTGGTGTCATACTTGCCCAAAAACATTTGACACTGTTTTACTGCAACTTATTAAATTTCCTTTCACAAGGGTGAAGTTGCAAAATCCTCTCCTGCTCGCCTAATCTGCCTTATCAGACCTTACCTAATTTATCCTCTGGATTATGACCCTTCACCAGTTGTTGGCAGTTCTCTACTGGTAAATGTGATTGGTTAAAATGCCTCACATACCAACCATTTTATCTTTTGGCCTAAAGTAAAAATCTTTATTATTAATTCAGACCAAACGAATGAGAGGCAAATAGTATGTGTTTGGTATTGAGAATATTACTCTATCTTGAAAATGTATATTCCGCTAGGCCAGCACGGTAGAAGAGCACACGCAAACAAGAGAAAGAAGCATCATTGAGGAACAAACATCAGACTCTGGATCCGAAGCTTCAGCAACTTACAGAAATAAACTTAAGTTCAACATCAGATTCAACTGTTGAGATCCTTAACAATTAGCCTGATAGATGAAAAATCTGGGAATCATCTCTAAATGAAATTATGTTCCGTAAATATAGCTACTGAAAAATGATTCTGATCAAGATGCGGAAAGGGGATCAAAATCTTATGTAGTCTTGCCTTCACAATCGTCTTTTCGCCGGAGACAACGAAACACACAGAAGAGAGTAGTAATTCAAAAGAGAGTTTAGCATTATTTATAAGAAAATTAATATGTCAAAATGAAGCTGAGTGAAGTAATGTTACCTTACTGATGCCCAAAGTGTCAAGAAGCGCAACAACATCATCCACAAGGTCATTGAAATTTGCTTTTTCGGGTTCCGATGGCTGGTCTGAGAGTCCATAGCCCCTGAAATCAATAGCAATTGCTCGGTAGCCAGCATTAGCCACGGCAATCATCTGGTGCCTCCATGAGTACCAAATTTCTGGGAATCCATGCAGGAAAAGCACCACCTTTGGACCTGCGCAGAATTATCCCCATAATCGCTGCAAAATGCATTTAGTAAGACAGAACAACGAATTGACTTTAGAAAAATCTAGTTTACATCAAACGCAAATTTTATATGTCTAACCTGTTCCATTTTCGGCCACGTGAAGCTTTAGTCCTCTCACTTGTACATGCCTGTGCTGAATCTTTTCCATTCTCTAATCAG